GGCCAACGATGCGCTTGCAGTTGCACGGTGAATAAATAAATATGATTTAAGTTATTCCACAATTAGAAAGCATTGTAATTCAAAAGGGCTGAAGTATTCATAAATTGTGAATGAAGATGGAAACAATGATAAGGCTTATTCAGTGATTGGATACAGTCCTGTAGCTTTTTTGGCTGACACATTTTTTATTGTTTATATTTTGTTTGGCATCTAAGTGTGATTGACTTAGATACGGATATTTTCAGCAAGTAAACGTGAGCTGCAGTGGAGCAAAGCTGGAAAAGAGTACTGTTGAGATACTTCTTCTTCAAAAGAGAAATGAATGCATGTAGGAAGCGTTCTGTGTAACAGATACGCACATGCTTACAGGTACACACAGATAAATAATTACTTATGGTGGAATCTGCAATTAGTAAAAATTAATTCTGTGTGGGCTGTCCATCCTGTGAAATTATTGACAGGCAATAAGACCTTTGCACCAGGGTATAAACCTGAGAGTACAACTTAAGGAAGAGGTTTTTACATTGGAGACACGCAAATTTTCACTACCACCTCTATTACAGCGGGTACTTCATTTTGTTGTTTCCTGCTCTAATGACACTTTTTTCCCACATGTTTGCTTTTTGGACTCACAAGATGTAGTGGATTTACTCATTCTTTACAAATCTGTTTTAAAACACCGCACTCAGGTGTACACAAAAACACAACATTGTACTTCTACCGCAATTCCTGCCTTTCGTGCATTGCTAACTTCTCCATAATATTTTACAATCACGCTGTATCATGTGCCGTGCAGAGACAGTTCCTGTTTGGTGGTACATACATGGAAAACACAGTTGCAGCAAATTGATTTTAATTTGGAATCTTTCTCTACTTATTTGGAATGATAAAGGCATTTTAAAAATAATATTTCCTCTCCGTACATTAAAAATTAAGATTACAGTGGCAACGAGAATTTATACTTTGTGTTATTTATTTATTTAATGCAAAAGATTGATTAATCTTATTTTGAGTTGCAGCTGAGTTAAAGTAGTACTGCCAAAATTGTTCTCTCTATTGTGTTCTCCGTCTCTGGGGTTCTTGCGATGCACGTTGACTGTGGTAGTGTATGCTCAGAAGAAAATATTCTGGTAAAAGTTCTAAACACAGAACACCTGTTTGGACTGAGCTCCTTGCAAAAGCAGTAGTTCAGTTTGTGCCGAGACAGCGCTGAAGCACCTTTTAGAAAAAAGTCTAAAATCCAAAGTACAGCTTTAAGACAAACCTTGGCAATTCAAATGTTAGCCATCATTCTTTCAATAAAAGTTTGGTGGGTGTAAAATAACTCCGAGGAAGAATGAAGACTTACCAAATGCAGTTTAATTTTTTGGGGGTCCTTTCCTCTCCTTCCCATATGCCTCTTTCCCCCTGTTTTGGAATGAGAGTAAACTGCATTTATCTCTCTTGCTGAGGCGTGATAGGATGCAGTTACCGCATGCCTTTAAGTGCCTGGTCTCTTGTGATATTTTTGCCACGGTTTATTTTTGTGTTACAGTGGTCCAGGAAACTCACAATATTTTCTTTTCCTCCTAGAATATGCTGTTTCATTAGGCACAGAGAAAATCCATGCAGGGAAATTGAGTACATGAAGTTTTCTGTGTAAAATTTCCAGACTGCTGCCTGGTGTATTTGTTGTATGGTCCTCAGTTCAAACTTGCATGAATTGATACAAAGTTTATAAAAGTGGAAGATAGGAGAAGGGCGCTGCATCTCCCCTTTACCTTTTCCAAAAAGAAACTGTAGCCTATCTATCATCCTTAGATGGCTGGTATTTTTTCCTTTATTTACAAGCTACATAGATATTATATAGTACCTTCCATTTTAATTTAAATTGCCAGTGCGCAATGGTTCACCTGAGCCATTTGATATGACATCTGAAAATCTTACCTCCATAAATCACTTTATTCCAAGAGCAACTGTGGCACATGGGTAAGTGCCACATTTAAAAAAAAAAAAAAATATCAGTATTGCTTGTATGAATATTAATGGAGAAAAAAATCAAATTCTGTAGATAGCTTTTTAGGAGGTTTAGTGAAGAACGTGTGTGATAAATTGCAAATCTCCATTTAGGATCATTTTTATGGGCACTTCTTCTTGTCAAGTAATGTTTCATTTGAAAGGACTGCAGATGCACAATGAATCTCTCAAAGATATCTGATAATATTGCTTTAGAACAGGATGTTCTTTGCTTTTTTTTTTCTCTTTCACATATATTTATGTCTTTAGGGCTTAGTGATATTATGAAAGAAAAACCTGAATACAGTTTTTAAAAGTTTTCTTTTTTTTTTTTTTTCTTCTCCCCTACTCTTTGCAAAGGAATCATTCAACAACTACAGATTGGAATTTAAAAAGTGGAATTTTTCTTCATAAAATTTTCATAGACGTAAAATGTCATAGGTTATTATTGGTAATACTAGGTGCATTACCTAAAGGCATAGCCATTCCAAAAAGTTTGTGATGTTCTTAAAAATGAAAACTATTCTAGTAGCATAGAATATTTCCACATTAATTTTATTGCCATTTTAAGTTAGAAATGCTGAAGTCTGTTTAGATGTAGGAAAAATCGTTGTATTGGGGCAAAAACTAATTTCTCCCAAAGATCTTCAGCCCCCTGCCTTTACCCCACCTTTAGCCCCAGCTGTTAAAATTTTCAAAATCTGTAGTAAATCTGTTTTATTCAGTCTAAAATGAATTGTAAGCATTTAACACCACACAGTTCATTTTAAAAAAAAAAATTATTTGAATAATTCGATTAAGATGACTTCTGTAGAAGAAAAAATAAACTTTCTTTAGTAGTTATAATTGAGGGGGAAAAAAGCATGGCATCAGAAAGCGTATGAAGATAGGGAAGCCTTATCATGGGCTGTGGTTACTCAGAGCAGTATTGCCTTCCCACACAAAGAACAGATTGTGGTTTAACTCTTTCCATGGCCTAGTTTTATATGCCAGTATAGTATCAGAATTGTTCAAATCTCTGCTAGAAACTACTAATCAGTTTAATTATTGCATTTGTGGCTCTTTGTCAAGCATCATACCGTAATGCAATTGTTTATGTCCAGAATTATCTTCATATATTGTCTCTCTCCTCTTTTTTCTTTTCTTTTTTTTTTTCCTTTTCTTTTTTCTTGTGAAGGTAACACGGTCATAGGTAAACTGCTTGCAACTTTTCTGTTGTTTTCTTTTTGATTTGAGGACGGTGAGGGAAGAGAGGTAACTAGATCTAGTGGGGGGTTTTGCCATTCAGGAAATTTTGAAGTTTGTTTGAAATTTGAAGATTTAAATACTAAATTCTTGGCCTGAAGCTTCTACAATGGCAGTCTGAACTCTGTATAATTGAGACCATTAGTTATACTTTCATCATTTTTACCTAATGGAGTTAATCAGCCTATTGATTAAACATAATTCATTCCTTGTCTAGCAGTGTAGCTAAAAAATAGTTTGTTAATTGTATTCTTGAATATAATTGTATAAAAAAGGTTCAGTTTTAGTTTGATTGCACCGTGCCACTCAGTATGATGAGCAATCTGCATGGTATTTAAAACTAAATATGCCTGCACACAGGAAGAAAGATACCTCCCCTAAGGTCTCCCTTCCAAACCAAAATACAGTAATGGTTGATAAGCAGATCGCGCTGTTTTAAACAGCGGATTTGCTCACGGAAAAGAGGCATTAGATTTTGGGAAAGGCCTATTTAGATATTAACATGGATGTGTAGGATGGTGCTTTAAACAGACAAAACGAATTAATTTAATTGCTATAGGATGTACTTGTAGACGACAACTAAGCATTACCTCCTTAATGCAATCCATATCGCTGCTAGGCAGAAGATAAGAACTTGCAGGTGAAGCCAGATGACAGAAAGGGATATTTTGGAACTATAAATAAATTGCGTGGATTTCACAAAAGCAGCATTTGACCAGCGGTGCACTCGTAATGTCACTCTGCCACAGCATGCAGAAACACAAAGAATGCAAAGTTTGTGCCAAGTTGCCATTTTTCATTGTACACCTCAGATTGATTTTTAAGGGGTTTAGAATAATTGCCACACTCATGTGATCAGTTAACAAATTAACTGACTCTGTGGGGCTTCAAAACCCACAGTGGAGCTGCCGGAAGAACATAAATGTAATTTTTGTTCTCAACTTCATAAACTTTTATTTTACAGAGTTTGGGGGTGGTGGGAGGGAAGCCCAAAGAGCTGAAAGTACAGAAACTTCTGTTCAGGATTTGTCTACGACACGCTGTGTCTTTTGCCCGCTTTCCCTTACTGTATACTGGTTTCTCTAGTTACCACCACTGGAATGGTGCTGTTTCAGTGCTGGAATGTTGGACGTTTGATAAGAAAATGGATCAAGTTTAATGGCGCATGCTCTTTGTGCCACCAGCAGTCTCTTGCTGAGAGCATGCTCCAAAAGCGGGAACTGTGTGGCATTACACTGAGCATGTATATGCTTTGTGTTTCTGTGCCACAGAGAAGAGAAATGAACTGTGGCATTCGCCTCAGCCTTCTGAACGTTTCTGCTCAGATTTTTTAAAACCGTATAGTGTCCTCTTTGTGCAATGGTACTTTTCTTGATGTTAGCCGTTCACTCAGATATTTAAATGTTAGAAACAAAACATCTTGATAGCATCTCTTTTAAATGATGTTGTCTCTGCAGCGTTGCAGGATGAAGTGAGGGGAGGCATACAAAATAAAATCTTCACATGGTTCTTTCAAAGAGTGATATATGGGGAAAATGTGATTCTCTGTGTGCTTTTTGTCTGCTGCCTGACAGCGGTAGTAATTGCATAAAAGGTGTTATACAGAAATTTGCGTAAATTTTAAGTGTTTATTCTCTTCGTCTTGGATTTCACTTTAAGATTTTCAGAAACCTTTCTTGGTACTGCTTTGATTATGATAACTTACTGACTTTGAGTTTTCTTCTTCTTTTCTTTTTTTTCCCTCCACTTCTTTCCACAGGATGAATTTCACCCGTTCATTGAGGCACTTCTTCCCCATGTCCGTGCAATTGCCTATACTTGGTTCAACCTTCAGGCTCGAAAACGCAAGTACTTTAAAAAACATGAGAAACGAATGTCAAAGGACGAGGAAAGAGCAGTCAAGGATGAGCTACTTAGCGAAAAGCCTGAAATTAAACAGAAGTGGGCATCCAGGCTCCTGGCCAAGCTGCGCAAAGATATTCGCCAAGAGTTCCGGGAGGATTTTGTGCTCACGGTGACTGGGAAGAAGCACCCATGCTGTGTATTGTCCAATCCTGACCAGAAGGGTAAGATTAGGAGAATCGACTGCCTTCGACAGGCTGACAAAGTCTGGCGTCTGGATCTAGTCATGGTGATCCTGTTCAAAGGCATCCCCTTGGAAAGTACGGATGGAGAGCGGCTCATGAAATCCCCACATTGCACAAATCCAGCACTTTGCGTCCAGCCACATCACATAACAGTATCAGTCAAGGAGCTTGATTTGTTTTTGGCATACTACGTGCAGGAGCAAGGTAGGAAGCAGATTGTTGTGTTTCTATGTTAGTATGTCAAACTCTGATTCCAGGTAGCCCTGTTTTCCCTATGGGCTGGCTTCCAGTGAAACATTATTCTGTGGTCTATAGACGTAATGTGGGTACATATCCATATGTAAATCAGCATGTATACGTATATACTTACATACACACACATTCCTACAGACATGTGTAAATGACATGTATGTTTGACATACGTGCCTTTTTCTCTTTCAAGAGAGAGCGGGACATACCGAGGCAGTACTTTAGTTCCACTGAAGTTGCCTTTTTTTTTGTCAAAAAGTGGCAATATATTGTGTAGTTTTTTCAGTTGTGACCTCAGGAAACATTCTTTTTGTTTTTCAAGTTGTTTTTTTTTTTTTTAGTTCCCCCAGTACAGTTAGTAACAGATGCAGATACGTGCAATTGCACAATCACAATAAATACTACAAATATTTATTATTGTCTTTGTAGTTACAAATAATCAAGAATTCATCCTTAAACTGATGAACCTACTATTGCTTTGAAGAGCAATTGTAGACTTTCTCATGTCTATAAAATAAAACATGACAAAACTTTAGCACAGAAATACTGCTTTGTAAGTACCGTATGTAGTCATAATTACAGCATACAGTACTTAACGTTTTATTCATATTTTGCGTCACTAGCACATCTTACCTGTCTGAGCTTTAAAACAAGGATCCAGGTTGTAATATTTCGAGAGAATTTTCCATGAAATGTGTATTTTCATAATCACATTCGTATACTTCATTTTATTTGGCGGATAATTGAAATGTAGAAAATTGCAGGAACACTATGGAAAAGCTTCTTAAACTTAGTTTTATGGAATGCAAATAAAAACAGGGCTTCTGATAATCATGTATCAGGGAAAAAACTGCTAGTCATGTTGCATATTCAGATAACAATATTCATAGGTATGTTCCCTGAAATTGTAAATGGTTGTAAGTAGATAAAGGTTTTTTTCTCTGATACTAAGCCTTCTGAAACGCTTTTTCTCTGTGAGGGGTCGTTTTGGTTCTTTTTGGTGGTTACACCATCCCCTAGACATCTTTGTATTGCCGACTGATCAGCAGTAATAAAGCATTTCTTTTTTAGCCGCAGATCTCAACTAGGGAAAGTTTGACCGGCCGCAGATGGTGGGCCATTTCACAACTTGGCCTGGTAGTAGGCAGAAATGGCCTGCAGAAGGGCAGATGGCAGGCTGTTATCTGATGCCCGATACATAACTGCGGGATTTAACTGAAAAACAAACGGAATGGATTTTTTTAGTAACAAAAAAGTAAAATCGCACATGTCTTCATTCGGTGTGTACTCGTTCTTTAGAAGAACAGATACACAACACAACCTTTTTGTTTTCAGTGAATTTGTCTTTTAGCTTTTACTCATGCAAGTGGAGCACTGTGTTTACATGAATGTATAAATAGGGCTCAATTTTTTTGATTATTCATCATGAAAAAATATGGTTCGTTGATTTGGTTTGGTTTTTTCCCTGCTTGTATTTTTTGTATTTGTCTCTCCACAGCAGTAGGCAACACTTAGATATTTTGCAGCGACTTTAAGTAGCTGCAGAGTCTGGTAAATCTGATCCCCAATAACATAGGAAGAAAGATTTCTCTGATAACATTAAGCAAAACAGCTTAATTGCAAATAATTTGTACCTTTAAACTCCTTTTGTGAAGAAAAGTTCACGTGATATTTTGAATGCATATATTGCAAGACATAGCTTACTGATTAATTCTAGTGGATTTACCTGTCTCTGAAAGTCAAAACTACAAAGGGGGGCAAAATAGTTTAAGTAACTCTTGAGCCAAAGGAGCTGGGGTCAGAATACTCTTGCACACTGTCAACTTTTAAGTTATTGGAAGCCAGTAACTTGAAGTGGGAGAAGGAATTGCAGGTTGTAGCTGATTTTATTGATTTAAATGGATTGAGAATATGAGTTTATTTAAAACACTTGTCTAATCAGAAATAAGTAATATAAGCATGCTGTAATATTATAACTTTCAAAGTTACACGATGCTACTTTGAGAATATACTGGAAGATGAAGCTGGCTAATTTCTATGTACGAAGTCACCCTTAGTAGATCCTTTTGTTTATTGTAAACTGCATGTATTTTGTATCTGTCTTGCTGCTTCACAGTAAATCTTCCGTTAACATCTCTTGGCTCTCTTCTTGAAGAAGTCATGTTAAGTTATCTTTGTTTTTTTTTTCTGTTTTGTCAAACTTTGATTCTCTATCCTCATTGAAAACAGGTTAGTTGTGGCACTTTGTAGTGCACTTGATTAAGAGCACCAGGCTTTGCAAAAGATAAGCATGAAGTCAACCAAAATGCTGCATTATACACATGCTGCTTTTGCTTTTTATTTCTCTTTTAGAAATATAAACCTGCCTAATAGTATCATGTAAAAACTGAGTGGAGACATAGAAACAATTAAATCCCTGAACGAAATATGGAGAAGGAATTAGCACATAAAATGAAAAAAGGGGCCAAGTTTTTTGTTGCTTCAAAAAAGAAGATTAGGGGAAAAAAGAGGAGGAAAGATAGTTCGAGTGCCAGTGATGGTTGCCAGTGGCACCAGGATTGGCATCAGACCTTCTTTGTTTAGCCTAGGATGCCTGTGATTTGTTGGTTGGCATCCGCATTGCAGTGCAGAGTAATGTTACAATATATTGACAATTTCCAGATCTAGAGGTGTCAATAATCCTTCCAGTTCTTAATAAAAAGAGCTTCTAATTCCATGCCTGCCTTGAAAGAAGAAATAGGACCGACCTATGAAGTTCTGTCATTGACCAACTTCATCTGATTCTACTTTTTGCTCATCTCCCTCAGAATTCAGCATCTTTTTTCCCCCTCTATTCTTTTTCTACTATCCTCTTGTGCTTTAGGATCTTAAAAAAAAAAAACAAACAACAAAGAAAAAGGGGCTTGACATAGGTTGCAATGCTGCTCCTTTGAGTGAAATGGAGGAAGAAAATGGGATGTACACACTGTGATCAATGATTAACATCAAAATAATTCTTAATCGTAACACACTTCTGCGGGGCTCTGCTTGTTGTGTGTATCAGGTCGACCCCCCCTCCCGAGTTTTTAAAAAGCCCAAACCTTGAAAATGGCACGAACGTTGTTTCTATTGACAAAACTGTTTTTTGTTGTGTTTTGTTTTGTTTTTTTTCTGTCAGGCATCAAAGAGCGTCTATCGTTTGTTATGAAACGCATCTCAGTCCATAAAATCATTTGATGGTATTTGATTCAGTGCAGCTCTTATGCTGTGTTCCCGTTGCTACAAGAACCGCCATTTTGTTTGTCGAGTGCCAGGAGAGGGGAAAAAAAAGGCAGACAATGTGCTTGATGCCAATAATGGTTGCCAGTGGCACCGAGGTTGGCATCAGACCCTCTTTGTCTAGTTGCTGAATGCCTTTGATTCGTTGGTTGGCATCCGCATTGCAGTGGGCACATTGGAAAGTTTTTGACAATCAGTGAATGAAAGCTGCAGTACTTGTTTGCTGCAACAGAACCCAGATAATATAAATCCCTTCTTCTGATAGATGTTTTACTTACTCTTACAATGGCTAATTAAAAAAAAAAATTAAAAATTGCATTGCTGTTTTTTCTAAAACATAAAATATCTACAGCAGTGTACCCCATCTGCAGAATTCCTAATCCCTGCGTCATCTCTGCTATCTTTTGCAGCATAAATAAAATGCAAACTTGATGTTAGGTATTTCAGCACATGCTGAATGAAGCACAGTAGACCTTGAGAAATGCTTTGGGAGTTTAAAGGGCTGAAGCAACGGTACACGCAAATGGTAAACGTTTGTAAGTGTTTTTAATGCATGTGCCTCTCAGAGTACATTTCTCAGGTCAGTCCTGTTACTGTTTACACTCTCCTTTGTCCCTGGGTAAGAGTGATATAATTGGGGGAGCCCGCGCCCCCAGCTGTTAATAAACTCTGAAGTTGAGGGAGGGGAGGATCTTTTAAACTATCCAAGAAGGAGGGCAGAAAATAGATGCAGATGTCCGGAGTTCGATACTGTTCAGGCACTCTTGGTTTTTTAACTTCTTAAGCCATCAGGATGCTGCTACATGACTTTGTTACCAGGAAATCAGCAAAAGAACTAAATCATTCCTGTTGGAAGTTTCCTAGATAGTTAGCATTAATATTGCTTTCCGGTTAACTGCTATTATCTCGTTAATTAATAAGAAGGATTAGCAGCTCTACCCAAAGGGCTGCACAGAAGGAAGCCTGGCCTACGTGAGTGCCTGAATCGCCAGACTGTGTCCTGTCCCTTGGGGGGGG